AAAGAGACTAGTGTTTATACTGGGTGGTGATTGAAGGTGCAATGAAAATCCGACCCACTGCTCTACCAACTGAGCTACGATACTGGACTGCTGACTAGATTTTTATTTCACTTCAATCATCAAGTGCTTTGCCTGACTATTATGTTAATTCATGACACGTTATAACCACATGATCCTAATCACACTGGATAGGGATAAGAAGTCTTGACTGAGCAGCCAATGTGAGTACAATCAAGTGGTGGTAACGCGTCACGAATTCATCTGGTAGTTAGACAGAATCCTTGGTGATTGAAGTGAAATAAAATTCTGGCAGAAGTCAAGAGTCGTAGCTCAGTTGGCACAGCCTCGGGTAGGATACCCGGTGGTAGCTGGTTCCAATCCGGCCGCGGTCCAAATTTTCATGTCACCTTTAATCATCACCCAGCATCAGTACTAGTCTGTCAAACCACGGCTATCTCAGATAGTCAAAATGATAAGATATATTGTTATCTAATAACAATAAGAGTTCAAGTTAGTCATTTGAACAAAGTTTATTAATAACATTAGTCCTGAAGAAAAATTGGCATTCTAGTTATTAGCCATCAGAATAGCCTGATTAGAATGACGCAATCGGTACTGCATCAGTGACTCGAAACTGTATCACTCAGTCCAGAAGTCACTAAGTTATTCATGCTACCATTTAGCACATTGTAGGTGGGAATCAAGTGAACTGAATGGTTATTCAGAGTTTGCATAGTATCGTGCCACACACTGTTCTCTGTCGATCTGCTTCTGTAGATCACTTATTATGCATCATTTAGTAAAGTAATGATGTTACCTAATCGGTACACAGAGTTTATTTGGTATTCGGAAACAGACACTACTTATTATCCGATGGATGTCTAGTAAATTTCACACTTAATAACCTTTCGTAATGAGGAGAAATGTATGCAGATTAATTAATTAAGTCCTTCGGAAAAAGTCATTTCCTTCTTTTCTCCTCAAGTGGTTTTCAAACATTCTTAACGGTTTCACTTGATCATTTATCGACTTCTTTCCTAATTAAAAATTAATAGTAATAAATACAACAATATATAGGTTGATTAAATAAGTTAAGTTTATACAAAAGGTGATTTCAAAAGATTTCTTAAAAAGTAAACAGTAAATTCAGTAAAACATTAGGTCAACTAAAGTTCCAGTTATTTTACTGTACACCTTCTCCTGCTGTTACAACTACCACTGCTAATTTAATTTTACGATATGTAGTGTTATTAAAATGATAAGTATATTACAAATTATATGAGTTTATTACCTACAATTACGAGTATTATTATAGTAATATATAACTCCTTTTTATTTTCTAAGTGATCGGGTGTGATAAATTGCTTAATAATTAATCTCAATCCACTACTCCGTCTAGTATATACTCAGTCTTTGCTTTCGCTTCTTTTGTCAAGTGGTTTGTTGAAAATAACGATATACTTTTGGAGTTTAAGTTATTTTTCCTCTCCTAGATTTAATTATTTTCCAGCTAGTCTTACGTTGGCTTAAAATGAAACCATAAGTACTAATGAAACTAGATTAGATATTTTGAGTAACGGTACCTGAATTCTTGTAATTATATTTTTATAACAGTAAGGTGTAAGGTAGCAAGTAATTTCATGTTAGTTAGGGTGTATGTTATTATATTCTACTACATTGCTTAGATCCTACGCCAATTTCCATTTTAAAATGACTTTTCTTGTGAATAGTTATCAGTTAAAAGTGAATAAAAACTATATTACAGTTGACGGTTGTTTCGTCCTTATTTTGAACAATTCAGTTACAGGAGATGCTAACTATTTTCTGAACTTGAACTCAGGATTTATCGATCAGTGTAGTCGAATTGATCATAAGGAGGAAGAGAGAAAGAGTTCATTAACTCTTTGAATAGTTTAACATTTAAATCAAAAATACTTTCATGTTATCAAGTATTTTATTATTATTATTAAGTGTGATCATATTATGCAAACAGAAACCAAAGGTAAGGCTATTTCTGAACGCTCAAAACAAATAAATAGATTATAGTGGTTTCAGGTTTATGGGGATTTCACTTGCGAGGTAGTATTTATCGCGGATTGACACCAGTTGGATAAATATCTAAAACCTGAAGCACTACACATTTACTTCGTCCTAGTAAGGGGCTTCTCAGCATACTGGGACGAAACAAATATGCAGTGCTTCCAGGTTATCATTGGTTATCCGGCTGGTGTCAACCCTCGATAAATACTACCTTAAAAATAAAATCATCATAAACCCCAAACTAAATTATTGTATAGTACTCATTAGCGTCATGTTTCGAGATGAATATCTTGAAGTTCTAATGAAAAACCATGACCTATGTGGTTAGCCAGTTGGGAGCGAAGGAGATGCCAAATGAAGACAATGGTGGATAGTTGCGCTATATCAGGAGTTGACAGACGTAGTAAGAAACGGTGGACTGTTGAGGTTCAACCCAGTGACTGAATGGCTAGCGCATTCCCCATGTAACCTGAAGATGCTAAGTTCGATGCGTGGTTGAGTCGAAGGTGCGTACTACCGAGGAGTCCCGTACGACGACGAAACAACTGTCTATCTTTCGCATGTTTTCAGTGGTTCTCCATGGTGATTACTACGTGTAGTGACCAAAGTACGATTATTCCGGTCAGAACACAGTGTGCAATCCAAAATAAGTTTCGAATAGACCAAAAGTATATGACTGAGTCCTTTTCTATATAGTATACTTAGCTTCCTTGAGTTACCCGTAGCCCAAACAAATCCCAATGATAACAGAACATAACTAATGTGGTTGTATCTATATTATATCTATATAAAATCTACCGTACTATTTAATCTTTATACTACGTAAAACAACAAGTGACCTCAACAGTGTTGCCTTGGCATTATAGTCAACAATAAATCATTTGCTTCAAAATATCAACTTATATGATTAAAGGGATCAGCAGCCGATAAAGATTACATACTCATAACAAACTTAAAATATTCCCAACAGAAGGGAGAAAAAGTATCTATCTGCAAGTGCCACATCAAAGACTAGGAATGCTTCAAGCAGATAGTCAAATTGAAACCAAAGCAATAATCGCCTCCTACGCCGCGTTGAACAGAGTAAGACAATAGTGAAAGTAAAACAAAATTTCGAGCGTAGCAAATTACAGTTGAATACACTGGATTATACAAAGCGAGTGCAAATATAATTTTTACCAAAATTAGGAAAGTGATATATGTACTCATGAAAGTTTAAGCAGCACCGAGAGTAAGAAAACAGGGCAATAAGGACATGTTCTAATACAGAACAAAAAATAGAACAGTAAAGACAAATATAACTTCAAAGGTCCCACAGAAGGGACTTCTTCATTATTTTCCACTACATCAACTTTAAAATAAATAGATTATCTATAGTGGTCTAGACAACGTGGTGGTAAAAATATATTCTTTGAGTCAGTTATCTCATTCAATTGATCTACACACTGTACCTGTAATAACAAGAATAAGCCTACAGTAGACCGAAAACCCAGAATTCTTTAATTGGTTTCTGACCTCTTTACACGTTAGCCAATGATGTACACTTATGAATGTTCTGTAAATAAAAGAAAATATTTATTTATTTTTTATGATTCGACTATCTAAGATAGCCGTAGCTTTGCAGACTAGTATTGATACTGGGTGATGATTGAAGGTGAGATGCGAATTTGGACCACCGCAGGATTCAAATCACCGACCATCGGGTTTCTGGCCTGATGCTCTAACAACTAAACTACGAAGTCCGACTGTTGACTAGATTTTTATTTCCCTTCAATCACCAAGGATTTTGTCCGACTACCATGTGAATTCAAGACTCGTTACTACTACTTGATCGTATTCAAAACAGCTGCTTAGTCAGGGCTTCTCAGCCCAATCCAAATCTAACTGAATCAGAGAGCGAGAGCATCATATTAATTATAATTTGACTATCTATTTATTTATTTGTTCTTCACTTTCCAGTCATTAGTATACTGCCTACTTGTTAATCATTCGTGAATGAAACGGTTTCTAAACAAATTATTAAAGTTTCTTTCAGGAATCATTTTATTAACACTAATAAAGTGTTGCGTGATAGTAATTGCACCGTTTTTATTGTTTATTAAATTTATAAACTTTATTTCAAACATTTCATCTAATCTGTAGTTGTAAAAACAAAATTAATATGATAAATCCTCTTCGCCTACTTGAATGAACCTTAGAGACTAAATATGCTGTTTTCAAGTAAATTTCATGTCATACATAAAACAGTATGGGTCAGTTGATGATGGTTGTGAAACGGAAATGATCCAGATCTTATCAACTGTGTCATTAGAAATACATAACAACGCTGAATGTTAATATGATATTAAAATTATTTCATGCATCATGCGGGTTGTTTATCCATCATTAAAGAGGCGTGTTTTCAACTCACTCTAGGTGTGATGAAGAGATTTTCTCTCTGACCCAAAATTCTATCATCTTATTGGTTACCATTCATTGAGTTCTGTGATATTAGTTTACGCTCTGAGTATGTTCAATGAGTGGGAGATGAAATTGAATTGGACAAGGGGAGAGACAGTATGTCTTTCTTTCTTCTCATCTTTCATGCATTAGTTTCTTCTCAAAATCATGCTCAAACAAGGTAACGTATCATTCCTCAGTTTTATTCCTTAAATGACACGTTCGCATCTTCTCAAAATCTTCTTATTTTGATTCGTCCTTAAAAAAAGGAGAACAGGATGGAACAACTTGTACGAAAATATAAATTTACAGGCATAAAATAGTAAATAATTTACAATTTATTTTTCTACGGAATATACCTGATTATCGCTAACTGAAGTCACGTACATTTTTACTATTGCTATTACCATACTCACTGTCTGATTACTATCTACATTATTCATTTACTTTTATCAAGATTTTTGGAGCTGGAATTAAATTTTGAGTCAAAATTATCACCAACTTCAAGCTATTTCGATATCATGTTTAAGAATTCAATGCCAACCTTAGTACTGCCTAATTTTCACACGAATTCGGAAAACTGTCTTACATATCGTGATTCATTGGACATAGATTCGGTAAGTATTCTAGCAATTATGTACGGCCGATGTAAACAAGTACTATATTTATATATTATGCGATTTTGTAATGCGAATATAATTTAGAATTATATTAGCTCAAAGAATTAGACAAAAATCAACGTTGTACTTAGCTAGATTGAACTCTTCAAACCAAGGAAAAATACTGTATTTAACTTCTGAGAAAATTTAAATGTCATATCGTGAATGAATCCCGAGGTGAGGTGTAAAGGTGATTCAGTAATCCAAGGTCTGTACTTAGAGTAGAAACACTGTTGACTTATAATGTAATCTGTGAAATAAGTAATTATCCTCTTTTCATATGTCTCAACATTGATTTTAAAGATGTCCGTTAAACGTTTCTAGTAGTGTTTTACATTACTTCATAAGAATTTGTCACTGTATAGATTGGATACTAATTGTCGGTCAAGTCTGGTCGAAGATTTACTGCCGAGTGTTCTTACTTGTGATATCATTCTTGACTATCTAGTTACACTACCTAAGGTCAATGTTAAAATCCTATTTTTGACATTGAACCTGTTTTAGTTCGTGAAGAAATGTGAAACTCTATGCTAATTAACTTACAGTCTCATTGCCTGACGATTCCGTTCATTACATTAAAAATTGAATGATGCATCTCACAGCATTAGACCGCTATATTTCATAACGGATAGTTTCCGATCATTATCTAGAATCACTTACCACTTGACGGAAAACCGATGTAAATATGTGGTAAATCGTTACTGAATAGAGGCCTCTAAGTTAGAGCTTGTAGTTGGTCGCGGATAATATGGGCCAGTGAAACTTAACAGGAAAGAGATTTTGGTTGTCGTGGCTAAATAGTATCAATGAAGGACTTCTTAACTAAGTGGCTAACTACGTGAAGTCCTAAGGCTTAGGATCAAAATACTACAGACGCATGTGAGGAGTATCAAGTAGTCAAAACGGTGACAAGCTTAACAGAGACTGCAGAATTTGTTCAAGTTAGTCCCTCATGGAGATATTTTAATAACTTTTCATATAGACTTCTTTGGTTGAACGAAACGAACTCAAAGTTCAGACTACCTATTAATGGAGTAGTACATTTAAAATTCGTTCGAAAATTCATTTATATACTTCATAAATATAAATAGCTTTTCTCCTGAAGCAACTTACTGTGTATTGTTAATTCCTGCCTTTCATCATGTTGGATCAAGAACATTCCATAACACCAAGTGTTATCACATATTATTGACTTTTGATGCCGGTGATGATTTAGGTTCTTCATCAAATTCACAGTACCAAATACTGATAAATGTAAATATTAGTCCTTATAGACCATACTAGTATATATATATATATATATATATATATATATATATATATATATATATATATATATACAATGTTATATTATATTTTGCCGTCTGTTTTTTCATGCCTAATGAAAATGTAGAATCTCCCAAGTTTACCGCCAGTGTCCAAATGGAATTATGAAGACTCTACGGAGTATCTTTCAAATATCGATTTGAAGAATTCAGTCTCTAGTTTAATCAGTGATCCAGTGATACCTAGTCATATTGTTAGTCAGTATCATACTACGCAGACTTTTTTAAACTGCAGCAAATACTCATTACCAACACTTCCACCGCTTGGAGATAGTGGTTGTCTTAGTTTAACTGATGAAACTAGCATAATCAATGTGAAACACTCAACATCTACACCTGTACATACATTGAATAGTGACAATACTCCATCAACAAATGTTAGTACAACTACAGTTAGTCCAACAAATACAGACAGTTCAGATCATTCTAATGAAGCACAAACAACAACTGTAACACCGAATAAAATTCGAAGAAATCTACCGTCCACAAGTGAATACTGTACTGTTTCTCCTACTACTTCTATCAATAGTAGTAGTCAGATGATTGAACAACAAAATTTAAGGTCAATTCAGTATATAGAAGAAAATCGAACACCTATTGTAAAACAAACTGCAGAAAATAAGAAAATCTGCGATATTGCCAACTCAGCTGGCACTAAAAATATACAACAAGATGAAGTAAATCTGGATGAATCTCACTCTGATAGTGAACTTAATCTGAGTTCAGAATCAGTGAATCGAAGGAATAGAGCAGATGTTAAAGTGAGTTTGAGTTTCTTATCTTAACTTTATCGAAATTCCTCGTAGTGAAATATAGTTTGTAATTTAATTTGAGTGTTTAAAACAGAGTAATTTCTATCAATATCCATTGTTTCAGTAAATTCCTCTTCAGAATAAGACTTTATTTCAGGTATGTCTACAGAAGCCTAATAGTGTGAAGTTTGAACTGGACTACTAGATATGCCAAGTGACTTTGTTGTATACCGTAAAACTTCTGTCTGATCCATATTCTTCTTCTAGATGTCTAAGGTTTGAAGAGGTTCTGCCTAAAACAATCTGGGGAAAACTGTTGGAATATCATAACCAGTTGCAATAATGTATAGTGATATCATCCTAATTAACTGGTCAAAGGGAATAATAAGTTTTATGTTGGTAGTTGTATTATCCTGTTTTTGATTAGGCCGAATTGATGGGTCTCTATTGACATGCAGGTTCCTGCACGGATGCTTCGATATTGCTTGTCATTTCAGAAGTATAATAATGCAAGTACCAACATAAAAACTATATCCATCTCACAAGAAGTGGCTATCGTGACTCGATGGCCTAGTGAATCGCTCTCTGTCGTTTGTAGCGTTTTAGTGAGGATAATACCACTCACTGGGAGGCAGGCAGGTTCAGCTGACGAGTTCTAAATAGAACAAAACGCATGTCTTGGTCCTACTGGTAGCCCCTACCCTTCATTAATGTAAAATTGAAATGATAATTTGTTTCCTGAAACTTTTTCAGAGGCCTTTTTTGACCATAAATTTCGAATGAAGAATGAATTTACGAAAAATGTGTAAATGATGAGTTGTACTAATACTTTTGATCCGTTTAATAGAAATGTCAAGCAATGAAGCAGTATTATTTGCTAGATAACTTTGCGGACATAATTTATTGTCCACATTCATATCATACGCCGAAAGCTATAATCTCGTCATCATAACTTTGCACTCTGTGTCAGGGAATTTGAACTGACACCACTCTTAATCTAAGTAACTGGTTGGAACCCTAGTTTTTTGCCACTTAATCCAGATAAGATAACGACAAATAACTCTTAACTGACGATTAAAAGGAGTTTATCTCCTTACAAAGTGCTGGTGTGCCAGCATTATTCTTGATCTGTTGATTAGAAGAAGAGAACAAGTTGATGGGACATTTCATTCAGGTAAATGTAAAACTTATCGCATATAGGCTTGATGACAATGGCATAGAAGGAGCGTAAAAATTTGTAAATTTACCATGCATAAAGTATTATTCCTGGTAATGAAAATAAAGAACCACTAGTGTGTTTGATCAAGATAACCCTTATAACCTGGTGGTTTAATAAACTCCCTTGTAGTACCAAATAATACCCATCAAACGCATATAACTGAAAGTTTATGGATCAGGCTATGAATAAAATACCGGTCTTGAAATGTAATGTTGCCCTTCACCGTCATCCGTACGCTATTTGTATCATCCTTTGTGTTCTGCAGACTCAAATACCAAAACGGCGCTTTCTACTTGGCGCAATTTTTCTTTTATCAACAATTACTCATAAAGCAATAAATAACAATTCTAGGCTGTTGTAAATTAGTGAAGTCAATCAAAAATATTCTAAAGAACCCTTGTAGAGAAGTTTTCAACTAGCAGATGATAGTACTTAGTTCGACCACAGTAAGATACAAAGGTATAGGCTGTGAGAAAGTTCCCATGTGAGTTGACGAAGCAGTTTCAAGGATTTTTAAAATGGTATGTGAACAAATTGATGTTTTACACATTCCTCTAAACATATGCAGAGTATTTTTTCCAATTTTTATGGATTTTCTCTCTGTCATTCATTTCAGATTCAACCATACGCACTTCGTGGCAATATTGAAGTGTTTCGTTGTCCTTTATGTTCAAAGGATGAAATATTTAGTCGTGGACACTTAACCAATCACCTACAAGACCATCAAAGCAATTTTAAACGTGAAGACTTTAAACATGTCTGTTGTTTCTGTTTTAGTGAGCTGAGTTCAAACAGTTCACTTGAACGTCATTTATTAACCCATACAAGTAAGCTCAAGATGATATAATTTCTAAAATATTCGTGATAACAGCTTTATAGCCTTGTAAAACCAGAGATAGTTGTGTATGTCTTGTGTTTTCATTTCAAACTGTTAAGAAATGGTCTCATCTTTATCTCCTAGAACAGGTATAGGTCTTCACTAAACTAATCGGTTGTGGACACTGTACAAATACGTAACCAATATATATCGAGGCTTTGGTTTAAGTCTTTCAAATTATTTCAGTGTTCAAACTTCAGAAAAGATCAGTTTTCAAACTACTCCTATATGGAGATTCTGTGATGAGTCAGTCAAGCTCCCCTAAATGATGGTTTTAGAGGTAGATTTTAAAGATGGTTATATGTAGTGGATCATTAATAAATTATTTTTCCTCCATCGTAGTTGAATTTACAGTCCAATGGAAATGCATCACTGAGAACGACATTGTTTGCTGCCAAACTCAAACTAACTTTCTGTATTTACCTAGTGGTTTGGCCATGTGTAGAAGATAAGCTAGCTCTCTTGGTTACCTCTGTGTGCATTCATCAATTCACCTGCTGCTTTAGACCAAAGTATATTGGCCGTACATAGCATTCACTTTCCAAACGCATTGTCGAACAAATATCCATCAGCCTGGTTCCACAAAGGAGAAAGGAGAAGACTCCACAGCTTTATTTTCAGAAGTATTTTTATAACCATTATCAACAGCAGATATGAAAGTAATTTAGCTTTTTAACTGGTAATCCGTATGTCATTTGTTCAAATCCCCCTATGAATTAAGTACTTTAAAGTTTTGTTATTATCGTTATAAGAATGTACCAATCTGTTAACCTAAGTTTTCTCATACAGAACCAGCATTAATAATATAATCTCGTTATAAAGAAGTTCAGGTGATAGCATATACTTATTTTAATGATTCAAAAGGGAAAAACGCTAAAATTGAATTCAGTACTTACGCTGAACGAAGGCGAGATATCTCAGATTTCTCGACTTAGAGGGAATTTCACACGAAATATTCATTCGAAAGATATCTTAGTACTTTGAAAACTTATCTGAAACTTAAGATCATCAAGGTGACGTTTAACAGGAGGTGGACACATGAAGATATTTCTTCTGGTGTGTTCAAGCTTTTGAATACCAGACAAGGTAAGTGATTGGAGAAGTTATCAATATCACGGAAAGTTAATGTTTGGATTTAGTCAACTGCATCTTCAAGACATCTCGTGATTTGTAGATTCTGGCCTTCTGAGATAAAGTGGATGTATTATTTCAAGTCACGAATATAACTCCTCAATGATTAGGTTAGAAGAGTGTTCAGGGTGGCCAGACCAAGTCGATGAAGTCTTCATTTGTTGGTATGAACCGTGTGGGTAAGATGTACACTGCCTGGTTGGGATCCTCGAGACGGAAGGAATCAGGTGTTGAGTAACCTTGGTGATATGGCTGAAAATCCATCACAACAGCGCAGATGCGTTCACCCCTTGACATCTTCTAAGGCTTGAATATTCGCACTAACATTAATCTTGTTTATACTCTCATACTACTTTACCTACTTTGATATTATTCTTTTCCTATCTACCTATCGTTTGTGCACTAGTGCCGAGTGTGGCAACTTGAGCCGATACATCTGTGTTTACAGTTCTACATTGATTATGCCAGTCAGTGTCTTCAGTGCCACTAATTGATACAGAAATTGAAGTGTATTCACGACTGAACAATGTCTTTTGTTTTCCTTTGTAGATCATCGTCCATTCAACTGCAATTTATGTGATAAAGCCTTCACAACCAATGGTAATCTAAGTCGACATGTACGCACGTCTCATCAAGTTAAAGTAACAAACACCTTTACTCCTACAACACCATCACCGCCATCAGCTATACAAACAGTACCACTACCAGGACAACAACAACCACCAGCACTATTACCTAACTGGTTCCAATCTCCTAACAGCCTACATACTTCACCAACAACGAATGTTTATTCTAAACTCAATGCATCATTTCATAGTGGACTAAATGGATATCAAGATACTTGTCACATCCAGAAGTTACCAGTAAAACAATTAGAATTCAATACTTACGAATCAAGTTCATCTAGAAGGTTACACTTTCAGCCGAGTAATGATGTTTTACAGAAAATAGGAAACCAATATACATCAACAGTTAATTCATTTCCTTCATCTGCTTACTCAAACGAAGAGTTTAATGTGAATATCAAGCCATGCACAAGTAATTTGTCCAGTTTGCCATCTTTTTCGAATGAACCTGTAAGTGTGGAACAAACAAAATTTACTCCGGTTAACTTACAGGGACACAGAGGAAACTTCTTTCCTAATGTTGAATCTGATTCTTCTTATTCAGAAAATAAGAATTTAAGTGATTGGTCAACACCTTACGCCAGACAGGAAGAACATATGGAAGACAATGCCAACAAATCTTCAGAATCCTCCAGTTGGCCGACATTTAAAGCAAATACTACTCCAGGCCTTCTTCAGTTCTTTTCGAACTACTGGTTACATTTAAGTAAGACCGGTATTTTACACAATCCACCTCATTCTGGTTTGGATGTACGAACAATTATTACTGGTTTACTTCCTTCATTTCTATCTGGGAATAACGCAGCGAATGGTACATTTTCATCAGACATTATAACATCATCACTTCCAAATGATGCAGGCAACATAGGGGAACATATTACAAAGTATACTTCAGAGTCACCAAGAATTACTGTTTGTGAAATCCCACCGGTAGTTATAAGTGAAGAGGAAGAGAGAACAAAGGGAAGATTTAATGACAACGCTGATGTGAATCCTCAAGAATATGTTGTCTCTTCATCACCTAATCCAAACATACAAAATGGCAGTTTACACCTAATGCAACCTAAATTCTTTAATGGGATAAATCAATATGCAAAACAGAAGTCACGATCTATGAAACTGCGTACTTTGGTAAGCTTTGTCACTCTACATAAAATAAATTTGGAAATGATTATATTACCTAGAAATGTAGATATATTTGATAAGTACGCTTAACCTAGTTTTGACTGTCTTCTTATATAACGGTGAAGGGAGATTCTGTCAGAGGCTTGGAATTATGTTATCAGCTACCTTTCACAAACATAGAGTTGTGAAGTATAAGGATTGAAACGAGTGTGAATGAAGTTTGTTTTACTGTAAGATTAATTTTTCAAACTCTATTCACAAGACTAAGAAACCAGCCGGTTAGCTAAATTAAGTCTGTTTGCTTTTTATTACAGCTAGGATGATGTGTTATCTCGATAAGAATTGTCTAAAGATTATAACTACTGGGAAAAAGAAATCCATGTCTGAAACCGCCTCCTACATACCTGTTGACAGAATACAAGACGTCTGATGTCTGATATGTTACAGTCAGTAAAAAAATATTCAATGGCTATCTTTCTCCTGGATCAACAACCTCGACTGGATCTTATGGGAAACATGTAGCTCAAGAACAAGAGTTAATTGATTCACTTTCTAATGTTTTCGAATCTCAGAAACCTCTTCTTGATCTGACTAATCTTACCAAAAGATCTGATCGTTAATAGATGTTTGATACTGAGTCCCATCTAGTGTCAGTTATTTTTTCTACCTAGTGTATGCTAGTTCGACTTTTAATTTGATATTTCGCTTTCTTGATTTCGGTGAACCCAGTTTCTTGCCTCCTGGAGCTCATCACTGAGGCATTCGCACAACTATGGGAATTGGTGTTAGCTCATTGATCCTAGTCTCAGTCACTCACTGACACATTCGAAGAAGTTTGCTACTTGGTCATTCAGATAATGGCTGATACACTGTAGGACTTGACCATATATACGAACAGGACACTGGATTCCAGTCAATTTAGTCCCATAAGTCTTGTGTACTCGCTACTTTATCATTATCCTTCGGTGGATGTTGAACACCTAAAATTTGGTAGCTAAGTCGGTTACCATCAGGTGATCACTTTATTTATTATGTCTGTCGTGGTTCATTCTCAAAACCTATTGCTTTATGAGGATATCAAGTGAATATCACTCCAGAGAAATTAGAAATCTTAAATCCATTGACCTAGAATCCATACTCTACCAGCGGAAGCAGTATTCGTATGATATAGTGAACACACTGACTGGCTTATGTGAATGTGGGTTTGTAACTTATATGATAAATACAAATACTATTTATGTACAGAGATTTTAGTCAAAAAGTAGGTGTTAGATTTTATCACAGTGTTCAAGTAGTATACATATTAAAAACACAGGTGGTGAGTTTTTGTATGGATTTAACAAATTAGCAAAGCATAGAGAAATGAATAGAGACTAGGACAGTTGAAAAGCTATTTAAAATTTTCTCAGTTATTGTCAAACAAAAGAAAGTCGCATGAACATTACTAACTGTTTAAACGGACAGTAATAAGAGATGTTGGAGACAGCTCTTTGAAAGATGTTTCAGTTACTCCACTAAAAAAGCAAGTTGGATTATCCACTGACATTTATGTAATGCAATCAAACACTGTGTTCCCATCATAGCCCATGATGTTTGACGTTTCAGTTATTAGGTTTTATGGGTGTAGATTTTCAATAACCGCAAGGCAAGCGTTTACTACTACTACTACTACTACTACTACTACTACTACTACTACTACTACTACTACTACTACTACTACTACTACTACTACTACTACTGTAGAAACGACAAGACGGAGACGAAGGAAGAAATGTTTACCATAGACATCTACAGTAATCATCATCTGATGTACACCATGCACTAATACAGTCATTTGCATATTGTGTTTCATTTCCTCTTCTGCTTTTATCTTGATTTGCCCTTAATATGCCCACATTGTCTCATGCTTTTCTTTGGGCAGAATCTTTACCCACTGCTGGTAATTCCCGCTGATTTCAGCCACCCTCTCACCACATGCTACTTATATCCATTCTGATCAGTAACCCACACTACACTACCATTATTATTTATCCCTTGGGTTCCTGGTCGAAAATAGGGCTTCAATAGCACGTCGTCATTCTACTCTCTTCTCCGCAGTCTTTTCAACCCGGCTCCACGACCACACAGAAGCGTTCATTTCTTTCTTACACCATCTCCTCCAAGTCATCCTCGGACGCCCAACTCATCGTTTCCCCTTGGGTTCCAATCGAGTGCTTGGCGTGCGATGTTCCGAAACTATCTTCTCAGTGTATGTTAGTCCAACTTCACTTTCTTCTGCATATTTGTTGGGTGATAAGTTCTTGGTTAGTTCGTTACCAGACCAGAGTTCCTTGTTGCTTATTCTTTCTGGCCATCTGATCTTCAGTATTGAGTGAGCGTAGGTAGATGTTTATGAATGTCTGTGGTTTGTTGAAATGTTTTTCGTAGCGCGACAAGTTTGTGAACCATCACATAGAAGCACTGACTTGACTCAGTGTTGAAAATCCGGATCTTGTTAACGCATTAGGCTGATTGCAGTGCAGTAGATCTCCACACTGATTTCAGATCAAAGCAGGAAAGCTTGTCTTGCTGTCTTTCCGATGCTGGCTTTGACGTCGTTATGTGTGCCTGTGCCACCTGTAGTTGAACCGTTGCTGCATAGGCTAGGTCGGTGAAAGAGACAACTTCCTTTTAGGTTTCTCCCGTTAATGGTGATTGGTGCTTGTTGTTGATGCTGTTGTTGTTGTTGCTGTTGTTGGTTGGGTATCTTCATCATCTCCGTCTTCTCTACATTCACTTGAAGTTCTGTCTTCGCTGCCTCCTCTGTCAACTTGTTAGCTTTTGCCCGTACATCTAGTTTGTGCGACATTAGATATAAATCATCATCGTCACCGAAATTCAAATTTTCTAGGGTATTCACACTGCCAAACAGCGTATATCCATCATCTCGCCTTTCACAGTTTGTTGCATGGTCCAGTTGAGTCCAGTCGACCACAATCAGGAAGATGATCGGTGGTAGTAGGCAGCCTTGTCTTACTCCTGTCTTCACTTCCACTTCAAAGGAGTCACTGAGATTTCCACTGTGAATCACCTGACATGTAGCATCATGTATCATATAGCTCTTGAATGAGGTTGATAAAGGTTTGTGGCACTAAAATCATAGTGTTGAAGCAGCTGCCAAATTACTTCTTGGTTGACTCTGTCGGATGCCTTTTCAAAGTCGATAAAGTTGAGGTAGAGAGTTGACTGCCATTCTATACTGTGTTCTATGATGATGCATGGCGTAGCGTGTCTTCACAATTTGATCCGCACATTATATGTTCGCTCTGAAGCCAGTCAGCCAGCCAGCCAGCAGCTAGCCTGTCTCGGTCGTAATTTTGAATTCAAGGCATTTTTGGTCTCTCAGGATGATGCAGCTTACTATTTTGCTTAGGGTGGACAGTAACAGGAGCATGATTCCACGCCGGTTATTGTTCTTGCAAACACTTGGAACTTTGACAAGGTAGCCCTTCTTCTAATCAATGGGCAGATACCTTTCCTTCAACCCTTTCAAACCTTCTGCAATGGTGGTGTGAGTGTATGTGTGTCTGTTTTCACTGCTTCTCTAGAATTTCATCTAATCCTACTGCCTTCCCGGATCTCAACAACCTTATGACGCCCACGACTTCTGCTTATTATGTGGGGTTGGGTACACTAGTAATTCTGTGGCTGGGCTGCTGGTGATATTTCTGGATGAGTTGCAGGTGGTGGTGGTGTTTGTCGATTCAACAGCTGTTTGAAGTCATTAGCCCATCGTCCCTTTGTTCCTCCTCTTTGGTAACTACGTTTCCTTCACTATCTTTCATTGGTTTCATCTGCGTTTATCTCTTCTCTCCAGAAAGTAACCTGGTTATTTGATATAGTGAGTCAGGTCTCCCTCTCCTACCTGTAGCCTGCAGCCTGTTCTGCTTCACTTGCCAGTGTATCGTAGAAGTGTCTTTTGTGTTTGCGTGCACTCTTGTTCACTTCTTCGTTCAGTGTAGCGTTTTATGTGTCCCAGTCAGCTCCTCTTTTTGTTGTTCATTCCTGCACTGCACTGTACTGTATTGGACTGGTTCGTCTTCTTCTTCACCATCATCATCTTCCTCTACCTCCTCTATCAGCTGCCATGTGTCCATGCAGGTCCATTCCTTGTCTTGATTCTTCTTCCTTTCTAACACGGTTATGCAGGTCTCCTTCCACATCCCTTTCAAACAGTTCCAGTGTTCCTCCACACAGGTTTCTTAAGGGATGCTGCTCAATGTCTCCCATTCTGTCCTCATGACTGACTGACTGACTGACTGACTGACTTGAAGATGTCCCTTGTAGTTTTGTTCCTCAGTTTCTGTTCTGCATGTTGAACTTGAACTGTGGCCTATCACCAGCTTCTTTGAATTCAAGGCTTTCAACTTGATTTTGAATGCAGTTTCCTTGCACTAGGCAGTGAGTGATGTGAACCTATATCTGCTCCCCTTCTTCATCTTGTATCCAATAGGCTGTCTCCACCTTCTTGAGATTTAGATGAAGTCGATCTGATTTTCAGTGTGTCCTGGTGTCTGGTGAACTCAAATCTGTGTCTCTGCCTTGTGAATATCCTTGTGCTTGTACACACTGCCTCCAATGATCAAAACGTTGAGTGCACAGAAGTCTGTAAACAGTTCTCCATTCTCGTTCATTTCACCGAGTGCCTCCAGACCCATGATGAGTCCTCTTCCTGTGTTGTACGCTCCCAGTTTGGTATTCATGCCACCCCACCCATTAGAATGAATTTTGATGTCACCAACTGGAGTCGGGTCGTCTCCATTACTGATTGCAGTTGTCTGTAGAATTCCTTCTTCTTATCTTCATCTGCATCATTTGTAGGTGTGTAGTGTAGCATTGTATGATTGTGACTTCCCTTCCTTTTTAGTTGAACATTGCTGTCATGATCCTGATCGTTCAGGAGATAGGTTCCCACTGCATGAGAGAGAGAGAGAGCCTTCGATGCTGTTGGGAAATCATGATAGCCACTCAAAAACGCAGTGTGCTGTGCTCGTGGTTGTCGTCTGGATGACAATATCGGAGTAGATTATTGACTCCTTTCCAGTTGACAGTTTGGAGAGTCCACTTTATTCCATCTGCCGATTCCACGCAGATTTCCAGCCTAGCACTTCTATGCTATACCTTCTCATCTCTTTGTCAATCTGGGCAGTTTTGCCAGCCAGCTTCGAACATTGTTCGGACATTCTATGTCCCTATGCTTACTTTTGCTTGCATCGAGAGAAGAGAGGATGCATCGGGAAATTGGTTTTCCAAAGGCTTCCACCAATTGGCGTCATTTCGTCCTCCTGAATTCAGTAAGGAATAAGTTTGTTCTTTATATTTTTTTGTGCTTTGAAGTTTCTTTAGGGATTGGATTGGCTTTAAGGTGTAGGGCTGTTAGCCCTATGCTCAACCTTGCCTCTTTATCCGGGCTTAGGACTGACTAGTAACTAGTAAACTAGTTAACTAGACGAGGTTACTACTACTACTACTACTACTACTACTACTACTACTACTACTACTACTACTACTACTACTACTACTACTACTACTACTACTACTACTACTACTACTACTACTACTTTATTTTAGGTGTTTGTAGAGTAAATATTGGTGTTTTTATTAAGAACTGTCTTCATGTTTGTCAAAACATTTTAATTTCCTTATTAAAACCATTTACTTTTCATTTAATTTTGTACAGAAGAACTTTTCGGTTCGTTATATTCTGGCTAAAAGAAGGAAAAGTCTCTCAGTGATCGAGAAGAGGAAACAGTCGAAGAAAGTAACGGAAATCAAATTCAAACCATTGAGTAAGTTGCTAATCTGATTTCACAGTTCATGTAGCTTATGAATATCTTTATGAACTAATGTTTCTTACTATCAGAGAAACTCAGTGGTAAAAGACGATGACAACTTATTAAACAGATGCTTCTACTTAGCTTTACGATCCCATAATGGTGTGCATCGTTTACAACACATATAGAAACGAACCCATTTGTTTCGAGTAAATACAAATTATTTCATCAGTATTCTCTGACGAGAGAAAAACATGATGTATACAGAAATCTGACAAATGAAATTCTCTGAAGGCATAAAATTCTCAGATAGTAACCAGTGATATATTTTAGGTGTCAATGGAGATCGAAATTCTCCGACCAACATGTGTGGCTTGACTATTCATTTAAGTTATCATACAATATACTTCAACATAAGTTCTATTTTTTAGTAGAATTGCCATTTCGGACATAATTTACTGTCCATATTCATGTAACTGTGTGACAATTCTAATAAACAGATTGAAATGAAATTACGACCTACCACAGTGCTCAAGTTCTACTCCCATATTAAAGGTTCTAGAACGATAAAAATTTATATTGGCTTCTGTCTATAGATATCTTTGATATGTTCTTCACATTTAAATAGATTTTTATTTAAGAGGGGGGGGGGTCACCAATCTTCAGACCTTATTGTTAGTAAGTATACTGTTGAGTTTAGTTAGCTTTAAATAGGATTATTGAGATCTCAGATAAAGATATATGAAAAGGTTATAGACGCTGAAGTATAACGATTGCATTTACATGACTACATTTAGTTTCTTACAGGAATATAGACTTCTACTGTAAATGCATCTCTTATGTATTCCAAGTACTTTATTTCATCAGTATAGAATAGAAATTAGCCTTCTAACAATGAGTCTCTCTCAAATGCTTTTGAAAACAAAACCGATTCAAACCGAACGAATAGAAAATGTAAAACTTCTCGCTTATACGGAAGATTATGAAATGGGGTGAAAGCTAGAATGTTAGGCAAGTATTGCTAATTACACTTACCGCAGCTTGGATAACAAATTATGCAAACAAATGACTCAATAAACTTCAACATTTAACCACTCACCATAGCATTATATTATAGTTGAAACTTTAAAGGTTTCCTATAGTTGTTTATAGGATACTTCAAATTTCCACCTATCGCAGAGTAATAAGATCGTTTAACACGTATACATTTATGTACTAAATATTTTCAAATGGTCAAGAAGACACAGATAAAAGTCTCCAGTTTGCTAGAACTAACCAGTAAGGTATACCGTGATGAATAAATCCACGTTAATCAGAACTGGATTCAGAAATATTAATTCTAATCAAGTGGAGATAGAACTGTTTACTAGCAGTTATTGATTGCGTAAACTAAACGACTAATTAATTTTAAATGATTGACTACTGTAGTGGGTAATAGTGAATGCACCGAGTTCATCAGTCTTTATTGACATATAGGCTGCTATGCGGATATCCAGATACTACTTGTGTTTCAGTTCTCACAAGGAGTGGCTATCTTGACTCACTGGTCTAGTGGATAACGCTCTGGCATTTGAAGTAATCGGTCCGGGGTTCGAGCCTTGGAGGGAAGAACATCACTCACTGGGAAGGAGGCACATCCAGCTAACGAGTCCCAAATGAGACGAAACTCGCATGCTAGATTCTATTACTAGACATTATCCGTCATTAATATCAAAATGATACCGTTTGTTGATGTGAGCCAGTTGTCAGTCATGATGTCCGAATACTCATTAAAGAAAATGATGCATTCAAAATAAAAGGCTTTCTAAACAAAAAAGAACTACTGATCGACTACACTGATTTCTATTTATGATTAACTAAGAACAGTCAAACATGTATGAATTATGCTCCCGTTTACTGAGAGATCAAATTAGACCTTCGCATACTTTGATAGAAGGGGTTTCAGAAGACAGAGGAAAAACATGTTTGACATTGATTTGGCAAAACAAACAGAAAGTAAGTTGTACTTACTTCTTAATCAAAACAAATTTGTTAGGCTTTCTGATATCTTACAAGAAAAGTAGTCCAGGTTTTTGTTTTCCGTTAATTTAACTTCATACAAACGCAAAAAAGACATTTTGAAACAGTTATAAAGTAAGTAACCTGTATTTGAACGAAGCCACTTTGGATCAACGTATAATTAACTCATAGAAGTTCAGGAATTTGATGGCTTTTAAGGTCTAGTTTAAATGTAGAGAAAAAGAGACCTTTGAAAAAGAAGACAGTAAAACTGTCATCTGAATAAAGAAAAATTCTTTTTCTCCCATACACTATACTATAGTTTTTAAGCACATACTGAATTTTTCTGCTGTTGTGAATAAGTTGATTTGAAAACACTAGTCAAAAATGTCAAATCTTGTTCTGATGAAAATACGTTTGTGGTAAAGACTATGAATCAGGTGAACAGTCTAAACAGTAATATTATCAAGTTGGGTAGTAGTAGTAGTTGGCTGATTGTACAGCTTTAGACGACTATTATTTAGCTTACCTGAGTAGTTTGTGAATACTTTTCTTTCAGAAAAAGTATTCAATCAATCAAAAGGTGGTTTCACATGAGAGCATACTTTTTAAGTTACTTTTGACAATAGCTGAATTTACAAGGAGCCATTTAATGATGTATAGAATTAGACTCATCAAAACCCTGAAAAAGACAGTTGATTTTGCCTGACACTGGGATAATGTAACAGTGTATTTTGAAGGAAGGTATTAGCTGTTCAGTTCATTGACGTTTACTTTGTACGCCTTTGGAGCTTTTTAAAAACAGTTGAAATATGTTTCGCCTTAGTTTTAGACTAAACAGCAGCATAATGCTTTACTTTCGTTGAAGGATTATGTTACTGTTTATTTAGTGAAAGACACTTATTGCTTATCTAGTGTTCATATATACGAGAAACTAACTGTAGTTTAATCAAGTCTCTGAGACCGAAACTTAGGTGAAATTGATGTCTGAAGCTAAATGGAGAAGATAAATTTTAGGGAGTGAAACCGTACACATTAATCAACTTACATCTTTCTAACCATTCTAAATGACATGAAGATATTGGTCCAAGTACTGAATTTCACTCTATTGGTGACCATTGACTTTAATGGTAAAAACTATGCTTTATTTACATGCCTACTTTATCTTAGTTACAATAATAAATAAATACATTTATGACAATTCTATTAAACTAGAAATGAAAAACTGTTCATAGTTTTCTTTGTATTCACTGAAATGCCTTATATATCCTGAAGTTCTGAATAGCGTCAGTAACTAGTGGGCTCAGTCAGACCGCGCAGAAATAAGCACATGTACTGTCAATCTGTTGATCAAGATCAGAAAATGTTACTCATAATATTTAGTCATAAACACTGAAATATATAATGTATTAGGTAAGATATCTGATAATCTCAAGCTAAGTGATGTACGTAATTACCGTTTAAAAGGAGGAGAACCCAGTAACATGGCTTTTACTTGTTTTCAGTGATTCTCTACCCAACTTCCTTAACTGATTATGATAAAGGGATAAACGTAGAACTTGACATAGAAGTATATCAGCTTCCAACCAATAGCTGGTGCCTTAATGTAATGATCATGTATACATATCGCAATGATACAGGAAGCTATGGTGGCTGGTAAAACCATTACTTGATTTCCTATCGTCATACGAAGGTCTGTTGGGTAGCGTTTAAGATAAAGGCAGTTATTGTCGTGGTATGAACAGCTTACATTAGTGGGAAGCGTTTGAGTGAGAGGGATAACAGAGAGATTTTTCCCATGGAAACCAGCATTCAACGGTGATATTGTCCTATCTTATCATAGGAAGGAGTGGCAAGAAACGAACCCTAAAATTAGCACATATTTTTCTCCTCCAAGGTCCTTCGATGCTGCAGGTATCGAATTTTATAGTCTGGATGCGACACACAATACAACCTTCAGTGATTAGGTCACTATTCGTCCAAACTTATTTACATACTTAAATATGTAACTCAAGAAATTCTAAGGGTTTAAATGGGATACAGTACACGCTTCTTAGTGCAAATGACATGATTGGTAATATTTTCTTCATTTACCTTTCCAGGTCCACCATGTTTTAGTTGTAAACAAGAAGAAGGAAGCGATATGCTACAATTTGAATCCAGAGATGAAGATTTCCCACTCAATGAGTAAGCACCTTTCTTATGCATACTTAATGTTTGCATATTTCTAAAAAGTGCAGGAATAATGATTTGTATGGAGTGTTTTACAACTGCATAAATTTGGTCTTCACTGACTCATACGTTTGATTCTCGAAGACTACCAAATTTACGCCCCCTAATTCTATCCATCAAGATAGAGGAAGTTTATTCAGTTTGTACTCACCGGGTACGACTCAGATGGGAAGAGTAACACTGAACAGATGCTGTAAAAAAATGCAGTTGAACAAATTATCACTGTATTTGGATGAAAGCAGCTAGATAGACGATTTTTATCGTCAGTACAAAACAGTTAAGAAGAGACACTTGAGAAACTTTAATTGCAAAAAACAGTCAGCTTTCTACTATAAATAATTATTTTTAAGCTACACAAAGCAGACTTCATTTCAACAAAGGTGTCTTCCAAATTAATGCTGTTTAGGATAAAGCTCCCATCGGTATTTAGCAAGATTTGGAAATAGATTAAGTTGCACTAAAGATGATAGCTAGAATATCATTGAAAGTTTCACCATAAACCGTCGGAGATTCAAAAACAGTTACAACAGAACATTCAGATTGTAAGTTACTGATATTTCTCAACCTTTTATGTCTGAAATTTTACATCCGGTTACCATCTCCAAGGAAAATACCTGCCACAACCTTTACGATGGAAGGGAACCACTTTAGGATTACTGAAATAGGAGAAAAATGAAATCACACAGGGCAGTGACTTGTAGTAGCAGTCGAACTACTTGAATGCTAAGTTCAGGACCTTGTAATTCCTGACAGACCTCACACTACCTCAATGAAGGATTTTGACGTATTAATCATAGATTAGCAACTCTAGAAGCCAACATATCATTCTAAAATAGTGTGATTTGGTAGGTTCTAGTCAGAAATATTTGTTAAGTGCAAATAAATCGCAATATAACTTGAAGTTCTATTGTTTCTGAAAGATATTTGGTTCTCGTTCGAATGACACCGAAGTTAGTTGAAGGCTACTTAAAATTTACATTCTGTTGCTTCAACCTAATAAGATGCTGTTTTCCTCATTTTACAACATTTGATCGATAGCCTCACAAATAATTTGCTTCGCATACATTTCCATATTTCCTTTCAGATCGCGGAATTCACATAGTTCCGATGGGTATGTTCTTACAAGATATAATTCAAACGACCAATCAGCTGATTATGCATGTTCATCCAATAATTTATGCAACATCTCTGATAGACGATCACCACCAATCCTATTTAGTTATAACAGTGACAATAACAATGCTGACACCGATTATGACATGGTGAATATTGCAGACCAGAATTATCTTCAGACAACAGAATCAGTTCCTGAAATACTTGATCTTTCATTACGTAATAAAAGTCGAATTGAGTTTATAGATAGCTACCAAAGTACCAGTGAACTTCAAACATTTGGTCGACCAGATACATCCTTGAATTATTCTGATATTACTAAGACACCTGATGTTTTTACTTCAAATAATACTCCTGGTAATCTATGTTCTTCATATACAACTGATATTTCTTCTCAATCAACAATAAATATGAAACCATTTAATCAACAGCTTGATTTAAACAATATTCTTCAAGACATTTATAGTTTACCTAGAATACAACATAATAAAACCGTACCTACCTCAGTTAATGCTACAAATACAACTAGTACTATTAACAAACATTTCAGCATATTGGCAATGAATTTACAAACTAACAAATCAAACTCAAGTAAACTTCCTATTCATTCATCTATTCCCCCAACAATAATACAAAAAAAGAATTCATATAAAGATGCACCGAAATTGATTACTTGTCCTATATCTGGTTGTAATCAAAAATTTCCTTGGAATAGTTCATTAAAACGACATATTCTTACACATACGCGTAAGTGACAATACCTGTCAACTGTTTCTGTCATAATTTTTATGCATGGAGATAGTGTAATATTAGGTATTTAAGCATTATTTTCGTTAACTGGATTCATAGTATGAATATGATTCTCCATTTTGTTTAAGCTAATTAAGATTGAGAATTGGTTTGTCTATGATTTCCCATTTGCATGCTCAAATCAATTCTTCTAAGATTGGATTTAAAAAAGTCATATATCTTGAACCTAGCAATTTGATGCTGAAAACATGGAAGTCATGTCACTTAATTCATTCCTTGGCATACCATTATAATCTTTTTATTTATCTTGGGGTCTTTTATCTATACTTCTAAGTACTCAAACCTTCAGGATACTATTTCTTTTCTGAAAGTTCTAGGAATTAATATTTCAAGTCAAGAATCACGCCAAAAAGGTGATTCAGTGACGTCATAAATTAACTGACGTGTTGGAATATAAAAACTGTCTAACTCTTCCTCATTGTTTAAGTATTTACATTTTAATGAGATCACAAGGTGGAATTTGCGGTTCGTTGAGCAGGTGGTAGGTAGGTGTTTGAAGGTATTCATCGAGCAACCATGTAGTGATCCTCACTTTTAAATGGTCCTTAAGTTGACCACAGCGTGAAACGAAAACAGTCTTCTAACTCAGTAACTTCTACTGTGCATTATCAAGACTTACTATCAGATCAATTCGATCCAATAAGTGACGGTATAATACAAGCAGTAACACTAGAACTATGCCCATCTCACTAGAAGTGGCTGTCGTGGATCGGTAGTCTAGTGAATAACGCTCAGGCGTTTCAAGCGGTAGGTACCGGGTTCGAACCCCGGCAGGAACAACATCACTCATTGGGAGACAGGTATGTCCAGTTGACTGGTCTCAAATAGGATGAAATGCGCGTCCTGGATGCACTGCTAGCCACTATCCATCATCACTTATTATCCTGTTGAAAAAAATAGGAAGGTGATTATACTACAAAGCTGTGAACATTTCTGCCTCAGGATGGGGGTGAAGAGCAGGTCACACAAAAGTTAACGAATGATATGTTTCTAAAAGCTATCATGAAGCATCTTACATCCGATTTAATTTTTGCCTTAATATAAAGCCTGAATATACATTGTGATTAGGTGGGTAGTTTTGGTGATACGGTAGTGAGAAAGAAAAGAGTTTCCAAACCATTATCTGTTAGTTCTCTTCTGAATGCTATGAGTTTTAAGAGTTTATAAGAGTTTGGTAACGGAGTTAATCTGCAAAGCTATCCCGTCATATGCTGCTTTAAAATAGTGAGATTTCAGTGCATCCCATAAGAATGAAGGATACGGAAACCTTTTGGTATTCACTGTTTGTATCAGCATACAACAGCTGAGTTATGCAATGTCCTCCAATATGACTAGAGGACAGATCACCCTGAGGCATCTGGAATCAGTAGACAGGTATTTTCCCTAACTACCAATCCGTAGTGTCCACTTTTCAAGCATACACTATGTATTCCACGGTAACCATAGAACGCTTGTGAATACCGATTCACATTTATGCTGCTTACTATTCAACAGCAAGTTTCCAATATAACGTAAAAGTAACATGCAAAACATTTTCTTTTTTGAGGTACCCACACTGAATTACTATTAGTCATGTAGAATAGCCAGGTGACTGTTATTCTAGATATTATGTAAACCTTCAGCGTTCTACTGAATGAAAAAATAACTTTAGTCTATCAGAAGAATGTGACCTGCATCTGATATGTTAGGATGTACAGTTATTTTTCGTAAGAGCAGTTCAGTGCAACACGTATAAGAGATGGAAATTCTAATAAATGTCGCTTTGGTAATAATGTGTTTGAAATATTCTTATCTTTAAGTAGAAGCGATTTTGATGGTATGTACTGCTCCAGATTTCTTTGACTTTTTGTTCAGGAATTATCAGTAGGATATATGTGAATCTAAGATAATGTTTTCGAGGACTTAAACCTGTCACTTATCTCTTGAAAGACTGCAAATGCGTGGTGCACTTGTTTAGACACGTAAAGATATCGCAGTGTAACCGGTAACTGAGTTCGGTTTAGTTGACTAATAAAATTGGAAGTGAAATATGTTAGTATTTAATGCAGCCACCCAGGTAAACTTGTTGAAAAAGAACAAGGGAAACTTTAAATACTTTAACTTCATCACATGTTTATTACTATCAAAATTCACCTTTGTAATGTTTTGTTTTAATTCTGAATTTCAGCCCATAAACCATTTGCCTGCACAAGATGTACAAAATCCTTCTCAACTAAATCAAACCGTGAACGTCATATGGAACGTGTTCATCGAGTCAGTTTGAAACGTCAACGTCAGCGTTTCAACCAATCAAATATGAGTATTCAAAGTCCATCTAGTGGTGACAACCGTTCAGAATTAAGTGGTCATCATTCTAATTTGAATTCTGTTAGCCGAACAACGACTGGTGATAATAATGAACAGCAGCTTGATGGTATTGAGGAGTTAAGGGAGGATGAAATATTATCAATGAACTCAAATGAAAAGCAAGCAGAGGATATTAGTAACAGCCTACTGATTCGAGCAGGTGATCCAGTTGTAGAACCGAATCCTGAAAGACTGTATAACGCAGCACTATTAGCAGTGGCAAATTCTACCAGGACCGGTTTTACTGGTCATTTAAATAGCGTCTCTTCACCTAGTATAAATGATGCATCTCAGAGTAATTTGCCGACTATACCTATTCGACTACGGCAGTCTGGTAGAGGTGGCAGACGACCCAGACGTAGTAGTATACTGAGTATGAAAACAATGTGACAGATAGGAGGGATATTTATCAACTTCCCTTTAATATTATACCACAAACAAGTAGTATCAATAATTCAATATCTGAGGATATTATAGAGCCGCCTATAGATTTATCTGTGCACTCAACATCAAAAAGCACATCAACAATGCTTACTTGTCCGATTTGTTCAATACCGGTTGCAAGTAGATGTTTTCGCCGTCATCTGACATTCCATCAAGTAGATAATCCAGTTTTCCGATGTCATTTATGTCAGCTTACATTTCAAGATCAAGTATCAACTTTAACTCATTGGGCTATGGAGCATCCAAATGAATGGTCCAAATTTGTTAACAAACTCAATGGGAATGATAAATCAACAGATATTCTTGCTCAAATTCAATTAAGTTTAAAAAGTATCAATCAAGCAAGAGTTAAGTTTGAACAAGAAACCGGGAATAATAATGCCAATTTAATAGATTCGAAGGAACCCAATAGCATCTTGTCAAAAACAAGTAACAATGACTTACGCTATGTATCGTGTTGTATTTGTCTTCATCGTTTTGGCAGTCAACAAGATCTACAACGACACATGAGGTCTCATACTGGTGAAAGGCCTTTTATATGTCCACACTGTGGTAAAGAGTTCTCGTTGAAACATAGTATGCACAGACATGCTCGAGTCCATATGAAACAGAATATCAGAACAGATACCTCTAAAGAAAATTCAATCTCTACAAATCCTCAGCTAATATATAGTAATCTAAAAATGGAAGAGGCAAACTAATAAGTTCTGCTGGTTACTATATTTTTCCTCAACAAAGCGCCAAATTTTAAATTGTTTCAAGGATACGGTTAAACATCAACTGTCTATTTAAAGTTAACCATCCTTATTGAGACACGATTTCTGTCTTTTATGGTAACAAAATTTTATGTATATTCATTGAACTACATTCCATTTAAAAAATTTTCCTACAGTTGTATTGTGGTCAAGGTTTAAAGCATTTTAAAAAAACGGTAACATACTGAAAAAAAACAACATTTTTACCTTACACGATTCACTGAATCCATGGGAATCGGAAAACTTTTTCTTTATTTTCTGTTTTATTTCAATGCCTGGGATGTATTTCACTCCTTTCTTGTCTTTAGCTTGTTTCATTTATTTTCAATAAAACACCTAATATTATGAAATCTATATTTAACATAGTACTATTGAAAATAATTAGTTCCACTTATAAACTTCAACAAAACAATAAGAAGATATGTTGTCTGAGATGTATTTGCGCAACACATTTTGAAGATTTTGATCACATATGTACTTTTCATAGGGATTTATATGAAAATTAATAAAGAGATAAGGGGTAAGGATATGAAAAATCGTCAAGTAGGAAGGTTGAATTAAAGGCCAAATAAAAATGAAAATCAAAAGAGCTACAATAATGCTATGTCAAATTTGGCTTCAGAGTTGAATTCATCAAAGGAAGTTTAGCGTGATAAAAATTATTTTCATCATTTGGGCCCTTAAACAATAACCTTATACTTCACCCTTGATGATTGTTCGGTTCCACGAAAACAGAAAAGAAGCGGCAAGAACGTTAAAGGTTTATTGCTCAGTCGAATATGTACAAAAATTAACGGTTTATCTACGTTTGTTAATGGCCTTGGAAAGTTCTACACTTTTCTAGAGAGCCCTTTAACTAATGTGAGTCTCATACATATGATCATGTAGTTTTTATCGAACGTTCGGCATGCTATGATTGGCTGTGAAGGCTTTTCAGACGTTTCCGGGCCTTTTTGTGGAATTTAGAGGATATTGTCACACTTTATAATATCTCACACTTTTAAAAACTATGTGCAGGAGGATTTCTTGGGATTCAATTGGAGCTTTTTTATGGGTTTCCTGGATCCAGTTATTCGATACTGTGATGGACCAGCAGGATTTTGTCAATTCACCTTGTGGTTTTAAAATCATGGATCGTTTTGTGATTGTTGTGGATTGTCCGGTAACATATCGAGTGGTAAGCAGAGGGCAGTATCATTTTCAGGGTACTTATGGGTCTTGGTCTTAATTGATTTACATGTCCCCTCCAGATTTCTGGACCAATTTGCACTTCGTAAAGTACTGTCTGAATTTTTTTTCTTATTACACTTATTTCCCACAGTTGGGATAATTTTGACACTTATTTTCGATTTGGTGGTCCATTTTACGCTAATATATGTGGTTATGTGGTGGTGGTTTAAACTTCCTAAAGGCTAAGACCTCGACAAATTAAGGTATCCACTATCAAAATGTTTTATAAAAAATTTCACCTACTACCCAATTTTTAATTTAGCACTACAAGCTACTCATAAGTAACATGAAGACGAACAAAACTTAAAAACTGCTGCTAAGATGGTGTGGTACATGTCATAGTTTATACTGAAGGCTGTTAACTTATTTCACTAGGCCAATAGGAAACAAACTCGTGATCAATAAAGGAATATATGATGAAGATTTTTCGCTATTTTGAGGCTAGTACAGACATAATGCAAAAGATTGTTGAATAGTAGACATTCCTGTTTGTCATTCATATAGAACTCAGATACTGGCATTAATAGTTGACGTAAACAGTAGATCCAACTAAAAAGTAGAATTTTTAACTGTAGTTGAATGGCATGAGAATAGGAGGTGAAAGTTTGGTAACTGAAATCTTTTCGTTATTCAGCTTATCTTTTCATGTGTAGGAATACTAAAAAGTAAATTTGGGGTTTTGTGGGGATTTAGTGATAGTGATAGTGGGCCTGAGGACAAACACTCAACAGTGACATTAGGTGATAGTCGCACTATACCATGAACTGACAGAAGTAGGAAATATGGGTCACTAGATTCTAGCCCAGTGGCTCAGTGATAACGTACTGGCCATGGAACGTGGAGGTCCTTGGTTCGATCCTCAGTGAGATCATGGGTGCGCATTGTTGAGAAGTCCCATACTAGGACGAAGCAGCTGTTCAGCGCTTCCAGCTCTCCACTGTTCCTCCAACAGATACCAGTCCATGACGAATACCAATATGAAAAATATCAAGAAGGATCATTTACTTTTTGTCTTTTTAATGAACATAAATAACACAGTAGAAACAGTATTTGTAAATTAAAATGACGTCATTCTATTTTATACTATTTTCTTAAGCTATATACCACCTGGAAAACTAAATAAATAATCGCTGTAACGAATTTTAACATACTGTGTATATAGTAGCCTAAGAACCAAGTAAAAGTTCTAAAGGCCAGAAAAAATTCGATCCATAACACAAAAGAAGGTAAATAAGTAAAATTCAGTCAGACTACGAACAAGTTATACGTGAAGCGAAAAATCATCACAAATGTGTAAAATAATATTCAATATAGTGACATAACCATGTGAAAAACTATGTTATATTGCTTAAATAGAATGCTCAACCATTATAAATGGTCTGAAAATTGCGCGGTCCATGTTGACATTGCACATAGCTGAATAGTTTTTCAACCACCTAACTGTGGTAGCAAGAGGGTTTCCGTTGGGAAATACTCAGCCAAGATTACAAGATGTGACATTTAACACAGAAATGTCATGACCTGATGAAATACACTCCTGAAAAACTTGATTGGTTAGAAACCACTGAAGTTGATGTGCAGTATTTCGCCAGCCAGATCAGATGTATCTAAGTCAGTCGGTGTTTAGAAAGATCTGGTTTGGGTGGCGAGATCTGTAGATCAGCCTGAATGGTTTCTAACTATTGAAGTATATGTATTATTTCTCTCATATCATATTATTCATATGATTGTGCAATAGCTCCTACTTATATCGAATCTCATCTCCTTGAAATCATGTTCACAAATCAAGCATGTTTTTTAAGTTTCTACAAGCATTTTTACAGCCAAATATTATTTATTATTTTCCTATTACTTTATGAAATCCTACTGAGTACACAAGTTAATCTTTTGAACATAACTAAGTTTCTGTTAGTTTGTTACAGCATGACAGATTTGTAGGTTGACAAGTAAGTTTTCATTTTAATCTTCGAGTCATTTAGAGGCTGTGGAGGTGAAACAGTTGACCATGATCTCACCTGCAGTAATAATCAGACTTCACTAAAGATCTTATCTCATATCGATCGACGCAGTAGCTAAAGATCTCGCGACTGAATTATTCAGGTCACGGTTACTTTTATTTGATGAAAGTTTGCGAAACAAGACCTTCTTTTGACCTTGTCCTACTTTGAAAACATTCGGAAAGACTAAGACGTTAATTTCTACTCGACAAGGATCTACCTTTCAAATAACTCGTGATTAATAATGCTCAGAACATTGAAAGCCAGTGTGTAAAACTCTCTACCCTAAGTTAGTTAACAAATAATGAATTTTAAATGTATTAACTCAGTCACTTGTGATAATCGGTTTATCATTTAACATTGAACTTCTGCGACAAAGACTTTATATTTATCAAGATAAAGTGTAGTGCGATGACGCATCTTTCAAAAATGCTGTACTTTCAAACAGCTCAGTGAAAGTTATATTACGATGGAAATAAAGGAGAACGAACGTAGTAAAGATAAGGGTACTAGAATAGTAGACTGATAAACTTTCTTGAGCTAGAGAAGTTAATTAATTTATCGATCAACACAATTATAAGTTTCCCCACCTTATTACAATTTCATGCCAGTGTAAGAATACCATTTAAGAAGACTATCACATTCGGTACTGGTCTAATGGACTGATGTCCTGCTTTAAGCCAACCACCATTATTCTAACTTTTACCTTCGATTTTTCTGAAGAAAAACTTCATACATGCTTAGTTTTCGGTGTATTCCGGGCCAGAACCATTAGACAATTCCATACTATATTTGAATCTTTGATAATGGCAGACAAACACGGCATGATTTAGTGGATTTTGTGTTGAACACAATTTCTGTCTACAATTATTACAAGAATTGGGATGTACTAGAAAGTCTATCTTGGTATTCGGTTATTAATTGAAGACTAGAATAATCTGTAAAGTGGGAGGTACAAAACACCTCGTACGAAACGAAGCCAAGATAAATGAACCTCCACCCATCCATTACTTCCTTCCGTCTTTTATTTTAAACGGTAATAGAATTTATTGATTTTGTTAATTTTACTAACAAGAATTCAGTGGTCAATGAATCCCTCCACCTATCTGTATTGGGTTTTAAAACTGTTGTTCTGTCCAATCCGATGTTCAATCCAGAATTATTGATACCATGGATTAGTACACATGTGGCTACAACCGAGCTTTTCTCTAAATTACATTTCCTGGTGAGGTCTGCGTTTCTAGACTTAAGTATATTTTTATGCTATGATATTCTGAATGACGATAATCGGCTATTTCAACCTACATAATTACTTAACTTCGCAATCATCTCGTATCTGATGGGTTAGGGCATTTTGCTTAGTCGGAATTGTGATGTATATATATATATATATATATATATATATATATATATATATATATATATATATATATATACCTTACCTTAAATGCAGGATTGTTAAAAACCCTGAGTATAATTTTTAATGTTTCGGATTTATTTGGCTTCAGAACAGAAGTTTTGAAGTCTCACTTACCGGGACAATATGATGAATTCACTAAACTTTGAAATCAAACGATCCACTTGCACATTCGAAATCTAATAAGCAAAGTGTATTTTTACCACCTAAACGTAAAATTAAAACATCTAGCTTTTTGCAAGGGAATATTGAAGAGAATATTCAAAAAGCAGTATATACAGATATGAAAATAGCTAGTCGCA